CTTCTTTCTTTGCATTCAGATCCTTTCTCACATACGAGATAACTTACAAATGATTGTTGGCCAAATCATAAAAATTGATAACTTTTTAGAAGATGATTGAAAAGTTAATTGATCATATTTTCCGTTCATGCAGAAATGAACTGACAAGTTATTGAAAGATAGAATAGCACATAACAATATCGTGTTATATAGCTGCCTGTAATTGATAGGCACAACTTGCAACAAATGTATCACTACGCTAAATAAACATGTTTAAACACTGTAATGGTATTATGGTAAGTAGATCATATTTGTAGCTTTTTACCTTTTTACAAGTAAGACTAATTTATTGTTTTGGGCTAACTTTTCAAAGAAAATAATCACAGAAGATGGTAAATTTATCTTTAACTTTTTACCTGTAATTCTTCTCTTCATCAAAATATTTACTTCATTTTGCATTATAAATAGAAGTGGAATTGCAAACTTCAGACCATCAGTGCAGTGCACAGTGGTGGCGGTTGCAGTGCGGCGGCTGCGGTGATTGCATATATGTATGTGGTCACAGTGGGAGTGTTGGACCACAAAGAGGAACACGGATAGCTCCCAGATGCATGAAGAGAGAATGTGGATTTTTTTGTTCAAATTAAAACCAACCATATTTTTATTTGAATAAAAGCTGTTAGTATTATTTTTGTCATTATTTCATTCTTTTTAAATGCGAAGTTGCTTAATTTTTTGTAGTTATCAGTTTTGTGATAATTTTTAATTGTTGAGTTCCCTTTTGGAATGTTATGTTAACTAAATAAAATTGGTAGATTTGGTAGAGTAGAAGTTTGCCAGACTTTTGAATTGATTAGACAAAATTTTATGAAAGTAAGAGACACATATACATAATACATGGTCTCATAATCATTTTTCAATCCAACCTCCAAAGTGTTTGAATCATTGCGGAACATCACTCTCGAAACCCTTGGCCTACTATCTTTGGGCCTGCGGTTGGTGTTGGATGTGAATGATTCACTTTCAAATCTGAATAAATATACATCGCACAACTATGCCAGTTTAATTGTGCAACCCTAGCTACTTTCATAAATGTATAAATGCACCTTACAGTTTCTACAGTAACAAGTCTGGTTAAATTAACATTTGTGATATTACGTGACTAAGGAATCTAAACAACTTGAAAATAATAGTCGATGAGGAGGTCTTTAATAACTTCTAGTCTGTGAACTTTTTAAATATTTAATGTACGTATTATATTATTAATTATTTATAGTTTTACTCATTCATGTAACACTATATTTTAAGTCTATATATTGATTCATAAAAGTGTTTATATACTTAATTTTCTAATATGCATAAATTACATCCCGTGCAACGCACGGGTGGAATACTAGTTTACAAAGAAAAATCACAATTAACAATTCCACTTGTGAAAATCAATTGCAACAATAAAATTATAAAAATTAAACAACTCACCTTAACAATTGTTGTGGTCTTAATGCCATATGAAGCCTAATTCGGATTTCACTTGAAGAAAGAGGGTGAAAATTTCCCGGCTTATTGGAGTTATTACGGAATTACCGAATTGGGGTCTTAGAAATTGGTAAAGGCAGGCAGTGGTTTTGATTTGTATAGAAACTCAAAAGGCATTGGTTTTGTTGGTTAGTATGTTAAATTATTATTTGAATGACTTTTCACTTTCCCTGATGGGCTTTGTAGTCCATTCATTAGTACGGAGCATTATTTAATTTGCTTTTTAATTAAAGAATTACAAAACTAAATGTGAATTGTGAAAATGTCAATTTGTTAAGCACTCACATACTAAGTAGGTTTTGGTCGTTGGGTGATGACATGGGTTAGTGGACCCTTTTTATACCTATGTACGTTTTGTTTTTTCCAAATGTTTTAATACGGAGTACTACATTTTCAATTTAACTAATACATATGCATGTACACTATAAGTAATAGTACATGCGAAGTAGTACTATTTTTTTTTAATGGTGCCCCTCTCAAAGTGGTGGTGCCTTAGGCAGTTGCCTATCTTCCGAGGGTCCAAAGCCGGTTCTGGCTGCGTGCCCTTCACTTTCTAGATCACATCCTTGCAAGATCTTCATTGTGATGGTCCATTCAAGACTACATATTACTCCCTTCGTCCCATAAAAGTCTTCTAACTTCCCTATTTGCAAAGTTTAGTGTGACTAACATTCATTTATCTTTTTCTTACTCAACCACAACTATACATTTACATCTCATTCTGACTTTCTTAAACTTCGATCCAAGTCAATCCATGAAGAATTTTATGAGACGGAGGGAGTATTATATCTGTGTCGCATATAAGTTGAGTTAGTTGTTCGGTTTGATTGGATATGAAAAATAGTAATTAAAACGAATAATGCTTACAATTCAATCATTAAATTTAGGCAAAAAGCATAAAAAACATGCAAATGTATTGATCTGAATATGGGTCTAAGCCCCAAGTCCTTATTGGTCTACCATAGGCGCGGGGGACGGGTTTGAGCCCACCTTCATAGGCTAGCTACTGCTATTTTAATTAATTAGGTTTAATTAGAATTTCTATTCTTATTAGAATTAGAGGTTTTCTATTCTATTTAGTGTTCGAGTATTCCTTTTAATTAGAGGTTTTCTATTCTGCTTAGTTTCGTGGTATGATTTAATTATGACTCCTTTTATGTTTCTTACTAGGACTTAGTTTCATGTTCAGTTTTGGATGTAAGGGATTTATATAAACCCTTGCCCATGCTTGTTAAAAGCGGGCATTAATAATAGGAAAACTTGACAAGAATAATCTCACCTTTCACTGGTCTTCTCATAACAATCCCACCTTTAAATAATTCCAAAATAATCCCACCTTTGCACCTCATCTTCTTTCATTGGACCCTGACCATGTTTTTTACTCTGTCTTTGAAAATTATACAAACAATCTCACCTTTCACTTTTTAATTATATCCTTATAAATGTGAGATTATTTATATAAGATTTTTTAAAAAAGTAAAAAACTTGGTTAGAGTCCAATGAAAGAAGATGAGGTGCAAAGGTGGGATTATTTTTGGATTATTTAAAGGTGGGATTATTATGAGAAGACCAGTGAAACGTGGGATTATTCTTGTCAATTTTTCCTTAATAATATTGGATTTTTAGCTATTTAGCTTGGGCAATGGATTTTATTGTTGATTTTTATTTCCGTTCAAATCAATTGGTCTGACCGACCGTATCTCGTTCTCGTCGGAATGACAAGATCCAACAATGATCGTTTGTCAAAAGTTGAGGACGAACAATCCCTTATGAACAAAAAGTTTGACATGCAGGGAGAGAAACTGGACACACATGGTCAGCAATTGACTGCGGTAGGAGAGCTACTGGCTGCACAGGAAAAGAAATTGGAGGAGATCGCAGCCTCCTTGGCTGCTTTCTCGAAGGCATTAAAAAAGGTTCTCCCCCCGTTTAAAAAAAATACTAAAATAATACTCCCCTGTCCCATTAAAAGGTTCTCGTCCATTATTCTCCGGGCAACATGAATTGTTCTTGATGTTTTACTTTATATATTTGACTTTTATCAAATTTAATTCTTATTTTTGCGACATTGTAAAACATTTAATGCAGTTTCTAAATATGTAAATTTTATTTACTAAAAGTAGTCTTATTAATGACAGAGGTCAATAACTTTATGGTCATTCAAACATCGTAAACTGCGTGAGAACCTTTAAATAGGACATTGGGAGTAAAAAATATCAGATACAAAGATTAAAAAAAAATAAAATAAATAAAAAACAGATAAAACACCTTTAAAAAATGTCACACCATTATTGTATAAAACTGTCATTTTTCTCTGAAAAATGCTATGGAAATGACATTTTTATTTTTTAAAAATGTCAAAAATTTCTCGAAAACTGTCATCAAGATGACATTTCTGACACATGTTGCATTGTTTTTGTGATCAGAGCTGGTGGTATTGGGTAGGCATGGAGTCAGTCCGGCTCGGGCTCGGTCCAGGCCTAGGCCCGGTCGGGCGTTTTGTGGTTGGAGGAAGGCCTGGGACCGGCCCGGGTTGCCACCGGTCCGGTCCAGGCCGGGTCGCCACCGGGTTCGGGCCTCGGGCCGGGTTGTGATTTTTTTTCTTTCCTAACTACCTCTGCCCCCCCCCCCACCCCCACCCCCATACCCCCCTCAAAACATCAATCCCAACCCGGGGAAACCCAAAAAATTGAAAAAAAAAAACAGTTTTGGCCCGAACCGGGCTTGGCCGGGCCGGGTCCCCATTTCTGCAGCCCGAGCATGCCCCCGCTTAAGCCTTCAAACCGTGTCAAGGACCGGTTTCGGATCACTGGGAGGTTGCTGAGGAGGCAACATAGGCCTACATTTTTTATATTTTTAGGTTATTTTTTAGATTTAATTTTTAAAGATTTTAAATTATTTATAATTTTTTTATTTTCCAGATTAAAATTTAAAAAACTGGCAACAAAAAGTGTTAAAAACAATAAAGAACTATTCAAAGATCATGACATATAATTATTGAAACAAACATTATGACGTTCGGAACAAGCCAGTTTCTAATTTCAAATAGGGAGAAGGCTAAAACATGACACTAAAGTTATTTACGAAGTTCGAATTAGAAACTAAGGTTTTAAGTAGTCCAAAATAACACAAAATCAACTTATTTGGATTATATTTGGTCACCCGTTATATCTTCGTTGAATCCAACGTTAACAGTCCATTGTGTGCTATCAAGTTCCTCTTCATGTCGTCCAAATCCTTCCCTCCTCCAACCGGTGTCATCGCACTTCTTCACCTGCCCGTCTCACATTTCCCTGCCCGATCATTTTTCTGTTCATCTGCAACGACGGCTTGCCGTTCATTTTCGTTCCGAGTCATCTAGGGATATTTTCAAGGGAATATTTTTGTTCAGGAGTAACGTGATAATTGACGGGGAGGAAAGCACAGTTTAAGTCCGACGTAAGGTAGTGTTCAAATAAAATCCAAAAATCTAAAGTTTGAACTAATTTGATCCCCTTAAAAGTTAAAAGTTTGGTGTGATTGTTTTAAATCAATTTTGAGTCTTCTCCCTTTCAAATAAAGGCGGTTTAAAATTAAACAACGAGCAATCCAGAGTTCGCTTCATACCGGAGTTCTTCTCCCGGAGTTCCATTGGGGTATTCTCTTCTGCACATTTGCCATTCATTCCATACGTATTTAGATTCATTCCTGATTCTTACCATTCTTCGCAGTAACCATTCTTCGCAGTAACCATTCTTCAGACCATTATTGTGCAGTTCTTTTTCTTTGGTTCAGGTAAGTTTTTCTTCATTCGTATTCTATTCTTCTGCTTCACATTCATTCGCTCTCCTAATTGGATTATCTTTTAGATAAACATGAAGCTGCAAGAATTGATGAAGGCTGAGTATGAAGTTTTGAAAGAAGGAGAGCACATAAGGATCGCCACTGCGTACGAACACGGATCTCCACCCATTGGCATTGGAGCTTGGACGAGAGTAAGCCACGGCGAATTGAGTCACGAAGGTGAACGACTAAAAAACGTCATTTGGCATGGAAGAACCTACTATTGTGCTCCAGGCGCTGGCCAATACCTGTCGGGGGAAGGCATCTCCTTCCCCATGACACCAAGATCTCGAGCCGCCGCGGCCGCACGCAAAGCAGCCGCCCACGAAACCTCTTCTCCAGGCTCTGATCCATCAGCATCCTGGCCTTGGCTGCTATTAGGCTGTGTAAGTGCGGCTTTCTTGGTATACTGTTCCTTGCCCAACGAGCAGCGTCAGAGCATTGGGACTATCATGACGAGCTTCCGTGACACTGTGAAAGCTGCTCAGGAAAGCTTCCGGGATGCCCTGACAGTAGCCAAAGAAACTGTACAGGAAGTGAAGCACATATCTGACATGATGCACTCTTAGTTTTTTCTTTTTTTTTTTGCAAAATTGCCCTTGCTTTGCCCGGAATAAGAAATGCTATAAAATTTCTCTTTAAAAATCCTGTATATACTCCCTTACGCTTTAGAAATCCTGTATACACACTAAATTTCCTTTGATGATGGACCCTTATTCCTTCACTGAGTGTGCTTTTATTGGTTGTTTATTTAGCATGTACTGCCTCTGCTCTTGTCAGTTATAGTTGCCAGTGTTGAATGCGGAATGTATTGAACTCTCTAGAAATATGATGCTGAGGAGACTCAACCTGATTTCAACCCTATCCTAACATTGGATATGGGTAAACAGGTAGCTCCTAACAATAACCCCCAACCCCCCTAAACTGCCCGCCCCAATCTGGAGTTAATGAGGGTAAGGATGATGGACCTCAAACTGATCGATTTGAGGATGCTCTACAGATCCTTGAGGATAATCCATCTGAACCTATTGCTGTGATTACCCAAGTGGCTATGTCTGAAACAGCCAAAGTCCCTGCTAATAATGCCTCTCTTACCAACAATAATTATGTATGTGCTACTCATGTGGATGATAATGTTATCCCCTCTGAATATATAGCTGTGACTAACCATCAGGATGTGGATGGTAAAGCCGCAGACCACTCTCTGAACTCTAATGACCCTAAAGACCTTTTAACTAATGTTCAGGCTATTGCTGCAGCTATTATTGGTAACCCCATGCCTACACCTTCATCACCAATCAGTGCCCCTTCACAGAGCTACACTTGCAATTCCCTGGTTCTTAATGATATGAACCAGGAAGGTGATGAGGTGAATAATCAATTGGAAACAGAATTGGACCCCAGAGAAACCCTTTCTGAAGGGGAACAATCTAAAAAAACCAAACAGTTTTAGCACAACTCTTCTGGCCCCTCAAAGCCTCATACTAATACAGTTCCTCATGCTTGTTTGGAATATTCGGGGGGATCGAGAACTCCCAGTCCACTGACCGTGTTAACCTTTTATGCAAAACTTATCATATCAATTTCCTGGCTATTATTGAACCCAAAATAAATCCAACAATTCGCAAAATAAAATGAAGCAGTTTGGTTTTTCTAATGCTTTTGCGCATCGTCTTTATAAAATCTGGATCATATGGGATCCTTCTTACACTGTCAACATTATTTCTGACTTATCTCAATGCATTAATCTCTCTGTCACTACTAATCAAATGTACTTTCCTATATATATTTCTATTGTTTATGGTGGTAATGACAGGATTACTAGACGTACTTTGTGGGATGACCTGAATACTTTCAGGCATAACATAGGGTCTAAACCTTGGCTCTTGGGTGGAGATTTCAATGTCATTAGCAATGCTAGTGACTACAATGGTAAGAGTATTCCCAATAAGTATGATATGGAAGAGTTCACCGAATTCATTTTTTCAAACAGTCTTTCTGAGCTTAACTTTCAGGGTACTCCTTTCACTTGGATGGGGAATAGGATGAATGGTTTGGTTTTTAAAAAGTTAGACAGAGTTACGATTTCAAAAGAGTTTTTGCAACTTAACTGGAATCTAACTCTTAAGTGTTTGACGAATAAATGTGTTTCTGATCACAACCCCCTTCTTCTTCAAGAAAATTCTGCCCCTTTTACTGGTCCCAAAAGTTTTAGATTTCAGCATATGTGGACTAAACACCCTTCCTTTCTTAATACTGTCAAAACTTCCTGGGAAACTCCCTGTGAAGGTTATGACATGTGACTGTTTTCAAATAGACTCAAACGGCTAAAAGTTGTGTTAAGAAACTGAAATCATGACATTTTGGGAAACATTTTTAATCAACAGTCCGAAGCTGAGAATGAAATTGCCATTCTTGAAGAAAAAACCTTGGATTCCCTATCTGAGGAAGATCAGTTACTCCTGAAACAGGCTGAGGCTAGATACATTCAAGCCTCTTCCTATATAAACTCGTTTTATAGGCAAAAGGCTAAAGTGAAATGGCTTAAGGATGGAGATGCAAATTCAAAATATTACCATCTATCCTTAAAATCCAAACACAGCAAACTTAACATCAACAAAATTAAGTTGGACAACAGGTCCTGGATAGAAACCAATGATGATATCAGTAGTGCTGCTATTATTTTTTTCACTGATCTTCTTACTGCCAATGATACTACTGACCATCTTGATTCTAACTCTTATCTCAATATTACCAGTCCTGTGATTACTAATGAGGATAAAGATCTTCTTATGAATCCTATAACCCATGATGAGCTTGAGATGGCTGTTTTTGGGCTGGATAAAAACAGTTCCCAAGGGAGTGATGGATTTGATGGTTTTTTCTATCAATTTTTTATGACATTATTGGTATTGATCTTTATAATGTTGTGCCCGAATTTTTTTTGTGGTGTTCCTATCCCTAAGGCCATAGCTCATACTTTCATTGCTCTTACCCCAAAAGAGAAGAATGCTTACCAGCTTTCCAAATTCAGGCCTATTAGTCTTAGTAACTTTTTTAATTAAATTTTCACTAAGATTATTACTCTTCATTTGACCCCCTTGCTTCCAAAAATAATTTCTGTAAACCAAACTTCTTTTCAAAAAGGAAAGGAAATTTCCGATAACATTTTGGTTTTACGGGAGCTGGTTAACCGTATTCATAATAAAATTCGGGGGCATAATATTATTTTCAAGTTTGATATGCTGAAAACCTTGTAACCTTGGAAGTTGAATTTCAGACAGATTCAGCAATGTTTTCTCACCCTACCAATGTCCCCAAGCTCCAGCATTTCAGCATGTCGGTAATTCGCCCCATTGATATGAGGCACATCATTAGCTGGGTAGGAAAGGATTGTCCTCAGGTTGAATCTCTTTATCTTGATTTCTGGTTGGGAGACCACACTTGCTCATATAGTTTTCCACGCGAGGTGCCCACATTTGGTCGTATGAGGCAGCTTTACATGCTAATGGAGTTCAATGAGTTGTTTGATGTGACCCAAGTTGCTGCTTTAATGACTGGCTGTCCACTGCTTCTGAGATTGCATTTAGTGGTGAGTCCCCTTCCTTAGTTAATTAGGAGGAGTGGGTATTCTTTATTAATTAATTAATGGTTTGCTTGGATTGAGGTGATCCTGGGTAAAATTATTTGATTCACCTTTATTGGGAACTTTATATTTGATACTGGTATTATTAAAATAAGCTGGATCCATTTTGACAGAACAAAACTTCTCTCTCCCTCTCTCTAAGCAAAAACCTATGCAGAAGAGTGCATTTGCTAACGTTAAGCTGTGTCCAAACCTTGGGTATTTCAGTGTTTGTTTCCAGGAATATAGGAAAAGGCATTCTGTATTTTCCTGTGTTTGGCACACGAATACAACTTTCTGGAAAAGGACTGGCATCTTTTGAAAAAGCGAGAATCATTTTTAGGCTAAATATAGTATGCCTAACTTAGTTGGGACACATTCTTTTGTTCTGTTGTAACAATCAATTTTATTTCAACTAAAAAATATAGTTAATTTGAATGGAAAAGGATTTCTTTTGGTGAAAGGTGGTTCTTATGTCATATGAAAGGGCAAACTTGTGGATGGTCAAGTTCCAATCACCTTACCTGAGTGTTTTTCCTTTCAATTAATTATGGTTTATGATTTATGTAAATCAAGTAATTATGGTTTGCAATTCAATTAGGAGATGAAGGATGATGACGACTACACAGGGAAGGACCTAATAAGTGCAATGCCAAATGATATATTGTGCTCCATCCTCTCACGTATGGATACAAAAGATGTGGTTAGGACTAGCATATTGTGTCGCAGATGGAGTAACCTCTATCTTTTTCTGCCTTATTATTCTTTTAGCTGCCGATGCTCGTTCGAGATTCCTTTCTTTGGCCAGTGTAGTTGTACAGCTGAGAACAAGAAGAAATTTCTGACTGTCTTGGATCGGTTTTTTAGAATCCCTAGAGGAGCTGGCTGTGAAAAGATTAAATCTTTCAGCCTGTCATCCCTAGATGGGGTGTGGAAGAGCTTGCATTCAGGCTGTGTTGTCAACAGAATACAGAACAAATCACATTTCCGCTTCAGAAGCTTTTATGCAAAGCAGCAGCAGCACCGATGCTCAAATCTCTGCATTTGGTCGCATGCATCCTGGAACGGTGGAACCCTTCAATCCCCAACAGCCTTTCAAGTCTCTAACATCCCTAAGATTGGGTTATATCGAATCAGTTGATGTGCAGGGCATATTGTCATCATGTCCGGAACTTGAGTATATAGTATTCATTTAAGACACTAAATTGATAGCAATATCTAATGCTTCCAAAAATGTCAATCAATTTCTAATAAACACATTTAAGTAACTTGAGGACTTTTTTCTTCAGTTGCACCTTGTGGACGTATCCTGCCTTGCCTTTTAAGTGTCCATGCTGATTGAGGTCACAAGTCCACTTTGCCCTATATTCTGAGACCTTTGGTGGATAGATCGACCATAGAGATATCCATTTGCATGCATCTATAGAACCTCCGCAAACTTGAGTATAAACACAACACAAAGATGCAATTCTTTACCCTATATAAAGCCCCCAATTCATCAAACAAACATATTTCATTCCATACTTTAATTCCTAGTTTTTATAATTTGTTCTTGCTATTGTTCTTCAAGTTTTTGAGGAGGAAACTTCAACCTCCAAAACCATTGGTGTTTAGGTATTATTTCCTTTGTAATTTCATGTTGCATTACATTTCAATATTGTATTGTGATTAATATGAGCATTAGAGGCTAATTTCTTAACTAAGGCTAGGGATGAACCTCTATGCATATTAGAGTTGGACTCGGGCCGTTTCGGGCCTGGGCCCGGCCGGGCCTCGGGCCGGGAAAGGGGAGGCCCGAGCCCGAACCGCCGGTGGCCGGTTCCAGTTCCGGTTCCGGGCCAAACCGGGCCGGGCCGGGCCGGGCCGAACCGGCCCAATATTTTTTTTTTGTTTCTCCTATTTAATCCCCTACCCCTCCCCCTCAACCCCAAACCACCTCAAATTAGGGGTGGGATCGGTCCGGTCTGGGTCGGGTTTTTGCTAAACCCGGAAATTACCCGGAAGGTCTCGGGTTATGAAATTAGGGACCGGAACAAAGTCCGTCATATTCGGTCCGAGTCGGGTTTTTGGTAGTCCGGGTTCGGTCCGGGTTCGGGTTGGGCCGGTTAAAGCCCGAACGTGAACTATCTCATTGTTCTTTTATATTTTAACACCTATTTTCAAATAAAATTAATGAAAAATACAAACCGCAAAGAATTACACAAATATTAGTCTTCAAAATCACCAACATTCAAATCCAAAGAAGATAATTATCTTAATATTTTATTTAAGATGCATATAAATAAATAATATAGGTTTCTTAAAAATATTTCGAAATAAAATTTATAGATAAAAATGTGAATAGAGTTCCTATAAATCTATTTTTCATGGTCATTATGCTAAACAAATTGAACATATTTGTAGTCACTAAAAGTTACTAAATGATTTTTTTATCCACCGTGATTATAATCATATATTAGGAAATATTTATAAATTTATACTCATATATTATATTAATTTTATATTAAAGCTAATTGTTTCGGGTTTTTTCGGTCCGGGCCGGGTTATAGATTTTAAGGCCCGTTAATGAGTCCGAAATTTCGGGTTCGGTCCGGGTATTTTTAATTCGGGCCGGTTAAAAAGAAAAAACCCAGACCAGAGTCATAAATCGGGTCGGTCTAGGGTCGGTTTCCGGGTTTCGGTTCGGTTTTTCCCACCCCTACCTCAAATGGCCCAAAATACCTAATCCAACCTAAAACTTAAAAAAAATTCAAAAAAAAAAAAATAAATCCAGCCCGGACCGGGCCCGAACCGGCCGGGCCGGTTCACCATATTGAAGGCCCGGGCCCGGAACCGGGAACCACCGGGCCGGTTCGACCCGAACCGCCCGTGGACCGGGCCACCGGGCCGGGCCGGTTGCTACAGTGGCCGGGCCAGGCCGGTTCCGGGTCGGGCCGCCCGGCCCGAGTCCAGGCCTAATGCATATTAGGTGTTTGATAAAAGTTCTAAACCAATAAATTGTGATTTATCCTTTATATTTTGATTGTTTATGACTATGGTGTACAACACAGAAGTATGTTAAACTTAGTTTATGCTTGCAATTAACGTTGAAGTCTAAACTATGAACACTAAAGGATAAACATATATAGTACCGAGAATAGAAATATATCCGGTCTTATATGATACGAGTGTGATGTTTTGATATTCAACGGGGTTTTCGGTAGATGAATGTAAGCCGTAACGGGACTTACACGTAACGAAAATCACGCTCTCACTGCCTTAACCGGAGTTGAGAATATATTAGCGACATCGTATTCATGATTATTGGGGAAGAACTATTATTAAACAACTATTAAAGCATTTAGGTGAATCCCGATTGCCTTAGTAATTCTCATTCTTGTTTAAATCAATCTCAAAGAGCAAAGTTCCTGAAAAACTATACCATTTACATTCTTTGCATTCAATACTCGACTTTATAATATCAACCATTTCCCTGTGGATCGACCCGGTATTTACCGGTATTTTATTACTATATCGGCACTTGTATACTTCCAAGTTTAGCCTGATCAAGTTTTTGGCGCCATTGCCGGAGAAATGGTCTTGTTTATAAAGTTCACAAACCTCAATTTTTTTCTCACTTTTTCATGTAGTAGTGTTACTGTATTTTTTTAAAAAAAAACAAAAATGTGTGGTCATACTCATAAAAGTTCAAGAATCTAAGTAAACCTTTGGTCCCGAAGTTGAAAGAGTGTGCAAACACAAACAAAAAAAAGTAAAAACGTCCTTCACTAAATGAGATCAAGATGCCCGTTGTTGCCTATAATCCACATTTTCAAGCTAGAGACATAAAGTTCTCTAGAGTGAAGGAAATATCTATCGGTGATGTGCTTGATAGAAGATTCTTGGAGTTTGAACGAACACTGAAAGAAAGCCTACAAACCGCCTTAGGAAACATTCTTCCTACACGAGAGTATGGTATTCAACCTGAGGAGATCAATTACATGAACTCCTATGATGAGTGGGGGAATCATGGAGGTAATAACTACTACAACTCTTCTAATCAACAAAAGGAGAACCAAGACAACAATTGGAATCCGCAAGGGAGTTCTTCAAACTTTCAGTCCACCATGGAAGAGATGATGACGTTTCTTACCACAAGTATTCAAGCTGAAAATGAAAAACATTATAGTAGAATGGAGACATCCGTTGAGAATCTCCATTCTCAATTTACCAAACTTGACATCCGAATTGAAAATCAAAACTCAATTCTTAATCAAAGGATGGACAACCTCGAACGAGATACCAAAAGCTCCTTCCACACTCTACAATTGGAGATTGACCAACTTGCTCAACAAGTTACTATAGCAGGAAGTACCGTGGTCATCACAACGGAAAGCAAAAGAGGAAAGGAGGATCCCAAAGTTCCGGAGAGCAAGAAGACCTCAGACATACTTCATGTACACGACGGGATTTTCTTGAAGTCAGAAGCTAATGTTCTCACGCCTCCAAATGGTAGAGGAGACCTCTTTTCCATTCAAGAAGGATACGCCAACAAGAAAGGAGGACATAATTGCGACACGCTAAAAAGGTACATTTTTTACCCGGGCGATACTCTTCTCAATATTGAAAACAATAGCTCTATATCATCTCTTCCCCCGCAAGATTTTAAAAGAGATGTCCTACTAGCTAAACACCTGCGGGAATTCAGCTGCACAAAAGAGGTACGTTTGTCCGGCCTATGACGTTAAACTAAGCGCTAATTGGGGGGCAACCCAACAAAAAAAAAAACAAAAAAAAATTATCGATCCCAGCTCAAGTATCATGCATTTCCTTCTCTCAAAGACATCTCATTCCACTATTGAAGATTTGATCTTGCATTACATTCCCCAATCTACATTGAGGACAATGTATCTCAAGTGTGTGTGGGGGGGTGCATCTCATGGTTAGTTAAACAAATTTTGTGTGCAAAATAATTTTGTCTTAAGAAGGTAAAAGTTGTGATAATTCTCTTTTTAATGGGTATTTGGTTGAGAAAGTTTTTATTATTCACATAAACTATCATTTTTTAGATTTATTACACTACTTTTACTCTTGAAAACCATTATTCCCAAAATAAACCTTGTGACTAGGAAATACCACCTTCTTCCATTTCCAAAAGTGGTTTAAGTACATCTCAAATATATATTCAAGAACCATTTTTGAAAAACAAGCCACCCCCATATCTCATCAAATAAATTGGGATCATCAAAATGACTATCAGGAAAAACTTGTTGAGAACCAATTCAAATGAGTTATTTAAAAAATAAAAATAAAAAAAAACTCATGGTCTCTTTCAAGAATTTCAACTGATCCACTTCTATACTGAAAAGTCAAATACACAAAAAAAAGTCATCCTACACACCCAAAAAATCCACTCATCTACTCTCAAGGGTATAAGTAATTTTTCTAAATCTAATGATAGTTTTGTGTGTCTAATAGAAATTTGGTTTTGGACCGAGAAAGATAAAAGAGTTTACATGAGTTTTTACCTCTCTTAAAATTAAAATTATTTTTGTTCATATATTTTTGTGGAAACTAACCAAGGCATCCAAAGTTGAAGAAATTGCTTGAGGACAAGCAACGCTCAAGTGTGAGGGGATTTGATAGACATTATATTTACTTGTGTTTAACATAAGTATTTATAAGTATTTGTTGAAGAAAAGAAGAGAAATCGGACCAATACCTTCAGAATGAGAGCTAAAGCATAAAACATTGTGATGAACGGTTTTTTAGACCAAGAAGATGACGTTCTGCCCATAATTTGAGTATAACGTATTGTAGAGAACTCAAAATCACTCTATTCGAATTTCATGTGAATGTTAACTCAATAAGGTACAAATGTTATGAAGACGTCATGTCCAAAATATGAAAGGAACAAGACTCAATCAACCAACAAAGTCAGATGTTGCTGGTGGGATTTCAGGATGCATACCTCTCAGTGTTTTAGCCATAACGTTTGATTGGATGAATGAAATCACGTCATTCAAGTTTTGGTGGATATAAGACTTCATTATCTACAACTTTGGTGAAGGAATCATGTCCAAATTCATAGCGGAACATCCCCAAAATCCCGGGACAAAAACTGACACTTTTTGATCTATTTTGGAAGAAGAGAAAGGAAGCGCATTTTTGGGCGCAACAACCGGCGCCGGTCAGGCATGAACCGGCGCCGGTCGGAAGGCTTTTTTCGCACAAACGCCACTGTTTTCAACCGGGGCCGGTTGATCCGATTTTCTGCTAAAACACAGCAACGTGCA